TTGTTGCATCTAGATGGCAGCTTCCTAGCTTTTAAGGTCCCAGTCGCTACTCACCAAAGTAGTAGGTGGAACAATGTTTTGTATAGTATGTTATGCCAATTGAGCTTGATGTCCCCCCAAAGCAGTATTCTTAAAGCACAGTAATTGTGTCACTCTCTAGGCTAAAAAACAAATAAAAACCAAAATTAAAAAGCAATGACTCTTGATTCTCTACAGTATAAAGTATTAATTCCTAAATTTGGCCTTCATTTAGACATTTAGACATAGCTATAAACTGTCCCCTCCTTAACTATCATCTCTTCATCACAGACACTTTACTTTGCAACCAATTTGAAGTATTATCTATCTATTGTTCCCCCAACGTGCCCTGAATTCATTTTCTTTTACAGCAATACCTAACTCCGATGCAGCCTCCTCTGTAAAGCCCACTCCCACTTCTCCACTAGGAATTGATCTCTTTCTGAGCTGAGATCTGCTGCAGCAGCCAACTCTTGATGCATTGTTTTGTAACATTTGTGTACATGTCTTGTCTTCCACTTAGGCTATAATTTCCCATAGTACTTATCCTAGTGCTTTATAAAAAATAGAAATTCAATGACTAATTATTAAATTGAGTTCTCTCAGCAGAAAAATATTGAAGATGCCTCAGGTCATGCACCCCCCAAGAGCCCCAAATCGGACCCTTCATAGAACGGGAAAAATGGCAGTCTGGCCCTTCTCTGGGCTGTGGAATATCTATAATACAACTCTGTTCCAAATGACCTTGATCGCTGCTCTCTTAGCTGCTGTTCTTGGTGAGTAATGAAGAACAAGTTCAGATTGGCAACAATCAATCAAGATCATCCACACCCTCACTTTTAGGACTAATAAAGAGATGACTAAGCTTCTAGCAGAAATCCAGCTACAGCAACAAAGGGTTTATTTGACAAGCTAGAATTCAGGGGAATTTGCTTTACACACAGAAAAGGAAGTTTTTTAGACACGACTTCCTAGAACTTCTTCTCCAGGAATTTCCAAAACAATTTGACTCCCAACCATGACTTGAAACAAATCTGTGTTATCTCCTGGGAGCTCTGGTGATGTAGTGCCTAAGGTATTTGACTGCTAACCAGAAAACTGTCAGTTCAAACTCACCAGCCACTCCTTGGAAGGAAGATACCACCTCGGAAACAATTTGAGTCCCAACCATAACTTGAAACAAATCTGTATTATCTACCAGCCTCAGTGACTGCAAACAACATTCATTGTTGTGTGTTTATCCAGGTGAGGTCTATATGTCTGCTGGGGCTCCTAAAAGGTAAATCAGTTCTGTATTTAATTCTTGCAAGTGTAGCAGAATTAAGATCTTCATGTTTCAAGGGCTCAATTCTTCCTTCTCCATATCATTCAAAATCCAGAAGGTACAAAAAGGTATGAATTAAAAATGTCATTATTATCTGTCTCTCTAATTCCCTTCCCTGAGGCAACCAATGTTATGTAGTATTGTTATTATTAATCAAACCATATTTTGTGGCTGAGGCAAATTGTAGTGTCCTCTGGCATTGCATGGATGTATCTTAGTCGGCAGATACAGGAAATCTTACAGGATGATAAAATCCATGTCTGTCATTGCTCTCAGATAAATTATCTCATGTATAATAGAAAAGAGAGGAAAAATTTCTGCTTGTTGTCATTATCATTCATAATTACCATTGTCATTATCATTTATCAATAAATAGGTATTACTGACCACTAACTGGGGTCATCAAACAGTGGGGATAATAGGGGTTGTGACAAGAGAAAAGCATGGTTGCTGCTGTAGGAATTCTACTACTGAAATATTGAGATAATGTATTTGAAGCTATAACTTTTGGTGTTCCTTGTCATTTTGGTGTCCAGGCGATTGTGATCCACCAGACAATTTATTCTTTGCTTCTCCAATAAGTGAGGTGAATGAGACAAGCTTCAAAGTTGGAACTAAACTGAGATACACCTGCCGCCCTGGCTATAGTAAAAGCAGTTCAAATCTGTTTCTTACCTGTACACAGGATGGCTCATGGAAATACCATACCTTCTGTATCAGTAAGTATCAACATTTATTTTTCTCATTTGTACTTTCTCCTTCTACAGAAAGTTGTCTCAGGAACTAAATGTCTTCCTGAATGCAAATGAGAATCTCTGGTCACTAAGAAACCATTCAGTTTGTCGGTTATTGTTCTCAGTGCACGCTCACATGTGTGCCGCTCTTTGAAAAACAAAACAAAACAGAAAAATTAAGAGTTAGTCAGTTACACTGAAATACTAGTATATTGCTTACAAAATCATTCACCAAACCCTTCTTTCAAGAATTGAATTACGAAGTCTATTTTAAGATATTGAAAGCCAGATTCACTTTACAAAAAAAAATAATGAAACTATGTGGCTAAAATGTGGGCTGCATCTTCCAAAAGGAATTTCACCCACATTGTTGGCCGTGTTTGGAAGGAGATGCTATGATGCATCACATTGGTCGTTGGGAATGCATTCTGAGATGTTTTTCCGATAGAAAAGGTGTACAATCTCCACCTTCTCTTTTTTGTTCCATTTGTGACCACGGACATTGCAGTTTTGAATGACCTGAATTTGAAGTATATGCAGCAGACAGAGTAGAGCAATGCTTCCTGGACAATATGTCAAATCCTAGACCATAGCTCCTTTGTTGTTGTCACTGTTAGTTGTGTCAAGTCATTTCTGACTCATAGCAATCCCCTGTGTGCAGAGTGGAGCTACTCCATAGCACTTTCAAAATCGTGACCTTTTGGAAGCAGATTGCCAGGCCTGTCTTCTGGGTGAGTTCCAACACCAACCTTTCGGCTAGTACTCAAGTGCTTAAGAGCTTTCACTACCCAGGGACTCCGATCTAACTAAACAGCTGGATTGGAGTCCATTTTTTTCTCTCTTGGTAAAATGTACCCCCCAAAAAGAGATTAAATTTTGTATTCATTTTCCCTTCAAAATACAATTCTAAGTCAGGACAAAACTTGTAGAAATAACTTTGAATTTGAATGCCTGGGTCTTTCTGGAAACAGAAGTTGAAGCTAGACAGTTATACTTACTTTCTAATGCCATGTCTGTGAGTGCTTGGAATCACTAATCATCATTTCAATTTTTGTTTCTCCCAGAGAAACGATGCAGAAACCCAGGAGATTTACTTAATGGGCAAGTGGAAATTAAGACAGATTTGTATTTTGGATCACAAATAGAATTCAGCTGTTTAGAAGGGTGAGTATGAGGCAATCTAGAAATAATATTTTTATTTTAAAATAATTTAAAAAATAGTTAATGCAGTTAGATTTTCAAAATTTTAACAGGTATACATAAGAGAATTTTCACTTCCACCCTCTTACTCATCCACTCCATTTCTTCCTGTTCTCAGAGATCTACTTTTTTTTTTTTTTTTAAAGTGTATTTTTTAGTGCTTCCTTATGGAAGATTGGGCAATCTACCTCAGTAGAGATACCAACTTGGAAACCCAAGGGGGGGCTCACTATGAGTCAGGACTGACTCAGTGGCAGTGAGTTTGGTTTTGGGTTTTATATAAATAAGTATTTTTAAATTTTCCCCCTTTCCAATAACAAATCTGATTTTGTATCTTGCCTTATTTTTTACTTATCAATATGTATTGGAGATCTTTCCATGTTTGTGCATTGAGATTGCTTATTCATTTTCTTTCATAATTCCATAGAATATTATTACGTAGATGTGTCTTAATATTCTATGGAATTATGAAAGAAAATGAATAAGCAATCTCAATGCACAAACATGGAAAGATCTCCGATACATATTGATAAGTAGATGTGTCTTAAGGAGCTCTGGTAGCATAGTGGCTAAGGCACTTGACTGCTAACCAGAAGGCTGGCGGTTCAAACCCACCAGCCACTCCTCAGAAGGAAGGTTGGGCATTCCTACTTCCGTAGTGATACTGCCTCGGAAACCCAAGGAGGGGTTGCTATGAGTCGGGGCCAACTCAATGGCAAACAACAACAACAACAGGATGTGTCTTAAGGAGCCCTGGTGACGCAGTGGTTAAGTGCTTGGCTGCTAACTGAAAGGTAGAAAGATGAGGCAATCAGCTTCCATAAGAATATAGCCTTGGAAACCATATGTGGCAGTTTTACTCTATCCTATAGGATCACTATGAGTTGGAATTGACTCAGTGACAAAGGGTTTAGATGTTCCATGGTTTAGCAATCCCCTTTTTTGGATTGTTGGGTATTTTCAATTGTGTAATTTTGTGCATATACAGTTATATCTGTAAATTCCCAGGAGTGGGATTTGTGGGTCAATGAGTACTGATATTTGAAATTTTGAAATACATTGCCAAATTGCCCTCCCTAGGTCTTATGTAGTTTTACAGAGTGCACAAATATTGGCCTTTCCATAAGTTCTCCCACAGAGTGCATTGTCAAACTTTTGCATTTTTGCCAGTTTATGAGGCTAAAATTAAATCTCACTATATAAGTCCTCCTATCAAATTATCTTGAGAGTACCAGTTTTGCAATATCATCTGAAAATAGTGATTTGTTTTGCCTCCTACTTCCCAATATGTATAGTTTTCTCCTTGTCTCTTTATGTTAGTTAATTATATCATTCAGGAGCCACTCGGAGAAAACAGACCACTCAGATATATGTAAGAAGGGGTTTATTATAGGAATCTGACTTAATACAGTTGTGGGAGCTGGCATGGGAGCTGTGTAAGAGAGGCTACTCCTTTCAGTCTGGTGCTGTGGAGTGAGCAGGACAGGCAGTCAAGAAGGGAAGGTGGACCTTAAGTGGGTGATGCAAGGAAAAACTGGAACTTGCAAGGATGAATATTGGCTGAAATTTGTATTGTTCTATTACTGTCTCTAAGCCTTCACCTTGAAATATAGTGTTGTCCTGAGGAGAAGTTGTTGTTCTTCATCACAGTGCTAATGCACCTGCATCAGATTGGAGTAAGTGAAAGAGAAGATCTTCCAGGAGCTGGGGTTGCTGTGGGCCTGCCTGCCACCCTATGCCAACAGGGTGCCGGAGCAGAGAAGCAACAGCTTATGTGACCTATAATTGTATCTTGTGCCCTTCTCTGATCTTCCAAGCACATAAACAATATGGCAACGAATTTACTTCCACCTTCTCTTGTGGGCCACACTAAATTGGCATTTTTCATGGAAGAGAATTCTGAGAAGGATAGTTCCAGTTCAGCTAAATTGGCACACTACAAATCCATCACAGTCCACCTCTTGTCAGTTCAGTATTCATATGCACTTGTTTTAACTATACTTATCTTAGCTTCCAAATACAGACAATAGCAAAATTATGTTCCCATCTTACAAAATGAAACTATTCTTCATACAGTAGGAAACACGTTAACTCTCTCCCCAGAAGAGGACCTTCTTTGAACTGATTCATAGGTCGTCTTTGATATCTGATAACTGAAATAATGAGATAAACATTAACTGTTATTAATACTCTTTATATTAGATGGTAGGGGAATAAATAAGGCAAAAAAAGAAGAAAAAATTCTACTAAATCTATTCATATAAAAATAAGAAATAAACATTCCTAACTAGTATGGTTCTTATTTCTGCAACTGGTCATGTGGTTATGGTTGATATTTATAACTCCTACTTCTATTATTCATTCCGTATTTGCTTTGTCCATAGTAAGCACTTCATCTTATTGTGATTCCTTGCCTGAAGGGGTCAGCCAAACTTTCTTTCCTGAAGAGTCTGAGCCATTAGTAGTCTTGTCTCTATTGAGTTGTAATCGTTGATAATCAGGATTAAACACCCCAGGTATTAGGGGAACTCCCTTCTTTGCCTGCTGATTCACTTTTATGAGGGCCCAAAGTTGACAGGAAGTTGCAGCCTCGACTTCAACTTTAATTTAGGATTGTTGTTCTTGTGTGCCATCAATTTAATTCTGACTCATAGCAACGCTATATGACAGAGCAGAAATGTCCCATAGGTTTGCCATATAAAATATAGAACTTTCAGTTAAATTTAAATTTCAGATAAACAGCAAATAATTTCAGTATAAGTATGTCCTATGAAACAGTTGGGACACACTTATGCTCCTGTATTTTTATTTGCTAAACCTGGCAACCCTAGTTTAATGGAACTATTGCTCTATCTCATGGTGGAAACATTGCTTCACTGGGAACTAAAACTTCTAGACCCACTAAGAATTTTATTTGTGTTATTTATGCTTTTTAGAATTTATCAATGAATGTTCATGTTAATTTTCATGAATATTCCCTTTGGAATATAGAAACTTTTGGAGCATTTGGACAAAGTTATACTCTTTATTATCAGTATACAGAGTTTGATATATGTACATCATATCAAATTTATTGATTAGCTCTTCTGAATTTTTAATTATATTTCTCTTTACATGTCTTAGAGCTAGAAATATAATTAAATTAATAATTTAATAATTATTTTAAGCATAATAAAATAAATTTTATTAATAATATTATTAATACTATTTTTCTTCTCTCCTGTGTATTGTTAAAATTGCTGCTACATTATTTGGTACATAGAGATTCATAGATCTTCATTGCAAATCAAAGGTTTAATATAATGAAGTGATCATTTTTTTTTCTAATTTAATACTCTTGATTCTGAAGTCCAGTTTATAGGATATTAAAATCATCATCCTTGCTTTTCTTTTTGCTTGCATGTAATTGATATAACTTTGCCCTTCTTTTTATTTTTAATCTGTCTGAAATACTTTTAGATTTGTCTCCTCTGTACAAGATAGAGTTGAATTATGTTCCAATTAAAAATTCTTTTCTTTCAATAGGATACTTAAGTCCAATTACATTTATTGATATGAGTGATATCTCTAGACTTGGTTTGTTATATTTTATATTTGCTATATCTATATATGAGGAGCTCTGGTGCCATAATGCCTAAGGCATTTGACTGCTCACCAGAAGGCTGGTAGTTCAAACCCACCAGCCACTCCTCAGAAGGAAGTTTGGACAATCTACTTCCGTAGTGACACTGCCTCGGAAACCCAAGAAAGGGTCACTATGAGTCAGATCTAACTCGATGGCAGTGAGGTTTTTTTTTTGTTTTGTTTTATAGCTTAATATATCTATCTCTTCTTAAACATATATGTTTAAAATAGAAACTATAAGTATATATATTTAGGATATTTAGAAAGGTTCACTTTTTTGTTGTTTATTTTATTATGTCCAATTTTCTAATTTTTACTTTCTGTTTCTCTTTAGTAAAGTATTTTTCAAATTTTAGTATTTTATTTTATCGTCTTTGTCTTCTTTTCCCAAATAGTTTTATCCTTTTTTCTATTTATTTCACAATTTCTATCTTCTCTTCCCTGAATTCATACAATATATATAAGTGTGTGTGTATGTGTGTGTGTACAGATACACATACACAGTTCTCTTATTGCTTTAAAAGTTTTGTTTAAAGTTGAGAAAGTGTGTATTTTAAAATTTTTGGAAATAATATGTTGGAATATGAGTTACAATTTTCATATGTTGAATTCATGGATTAAACAATTAAGCAATAAAACAACAAATAAACAAACCCTTAATTCATTTGTAGGGAAAGGTGTTTTTTTTTTTTTTTTAATTGTGATTTGGGTGAAAATTTACACAGCAAATTCACTTTCCATGCAGCAGTTCCCATATGCTTTGTCTCATGATATTGACTACAAGTTAGCACAATGCAACAGCTCACCTCCCACTTCCTCCTGACAGTTACCTCTTCCTGTGTCCATCCCTCCATGCACTCCTGCCCCCTGAGCTGTCTCCCTGTGCATAAATAGCCCTTCTTTCTCCCATGATTGTTCTCTCCAAGGAATGTATCTACCTGAGGTAAATGTTCAACTCATATGCCTGTCTTTTGCTTGTCTGAAAGCCACAGGTGTGGGTTCAATTCCAGACCAGAAGAGCAGCTCGGGGCCATAGTGTCAGTGGTTCCACCAGGCTCTATCAGACCAGCAAACCTAGTCCCCCTTTTTTTTCTCCAAATGATTTTGAGTTTTGTTCCAAATTGTTTTCCCTCTCTATCCAGGATCTCCT